ATGTTATCCAAATAGATGCTGGAATGAAGAGGAAAATAAAAAAATGTCAACATTGTAAAAATGAAAATGCGAAGATAAATACCCCTAAAATGGCACCTCTACCTGAGTTTCGATTGCAACCGTTCGTGAAACCATTCACCCATACCGGAGTAGATTACTTTGGGCCGTACAATGTGTCCATCGGACGGAGAACAGAAAAACGATGGGGAGCATTGTTTACATGTATGACAACAAGGGCAGTATATCTTGAAATAGCCCATGATCTGTCTGCAGATGCATTTTTATTATGCTTGAACTCAGTGCAGAACAGACGAGGCAGAATAAAATTCCTTTATAGCGACAACGGTACTAATTTTGTAGGAGCTGACAATGAACTAAAAAAGATTCAGCACAGACTTGCGTCAAGAGGAATTGAATGGCATTTCAACCCTCCATCATCTCCACACTTTGGTGGAGCATGGGAAAGGTTGGTTCAAGAAGTTAAAAGTCTTTTACCAAATCAAACTATGCCAGAACACACATTCCGTGCGTTATTAACAGAAATCGAAAATATAATAAATAGTAGACCTTTGACGAAAATATCTTTAGATGCCACGGATGACGAACCACTCACTCCAAACCACTTCCTAATTGGTTGTGCCGGCGGTGCCGAACCATCATTGAATGATGTGTCGAAGGCAGAGGCCACTAGACAACAATGGAAGAAAGTGCAGTCTATGGCTAAAACTTACTGGGATAGGTGGTTACACGAATACCTTCCTTCATTAGCCAAAAGATCAAAATGGTCGGAAGCTGTGAAAAATGTAAAGGAAGGAGACATCGTTATGATTGCTGAAGATGATCAAAAGGCAAAGTGGAAAAAGGGAGTTGTTTTGAAAACACATGTAGGCAAGGATGGTCAGGTAAGATCGGCTGTTGTGAAAACAGCCTCTGGAGAATACACTCGACCAGTAGTCAAATTGGCTATTATGGATGTTGAGCCGCCAGGCGAAGCTTCTTCAAATGAAGACAATAAAAAAGAACAAGTAGCATCAAAACGGGTGTTGAAACACCAAGATGTTGAAACTGCCATTAAGAAAGATTGCTTTGTGGGAATGATACGCAAAGTAAATGACGAAACCTCGCAGGGATACGAATGTGGAAAACGAAGGCGTGTCGATATTGACAAAGTAAAGCAAATAGCTGCGGAAATTGCAACACCAAAACCCAAACCAAAGAAAATCATAAGGCCTGTCACATGGGCAAATTTTATGGTGGTTTTGTACTTAGCATTTGCAATTTTCGGAAGTGTATTATCCTTTGAAGGATCCGGATTAATTGCATATGACTGCGGCAACCCAGAAGTTAATTTAACAAGTTATTCGTTATTGGATGTAGCTTCATGCATTCCACCATCGAATAACTTATCAACTGTGGAGGTACAAATACAAGTATTACAAAGAAATGTTAAAAGTGAAATAAGAGTGTTCCAATGCAAGGTTATAATTAAACGAAGCATAAAACATTGTGGAATGCATTCTCATACTTCTGATTATGAGAGAGGTTACGAATACATTGTAAAGGAGTTTTCATCTGAAGAATGTCAACTCTCACATCAATTAGGAATTGTCAGACTAACGCATGACTATCGATTACGTGAATTAAAGCGGAACGCAACTACACGTGGAGAAGTCCTCATAACAGGATCTGTGTGGGGAAGTAATTGCAAAGGCGGGACGTACAGAACGCCTGTCTATACCTGGGTCGATGCCTTGGTATATTATGAGTATGAAATAACGCTACGTGATTATGTTGCTACCGTAGATTACGAAAACGACGCTATTTACTTAAAAAATAGTTTGGCCTGCACATACTCTCAAGGAAAATGTTTAGATTCAGAGGATGGCTACATCACATGGGACATAGCACTCAACAAGAAATGTGAAGAAACCGAATTTGAAATAATTTATGAGGGCCTGGTGAACAAAACCGAAAACAAAAACACTCGAAACCAGGGCAGTAATTCTAATGTTGTTTATAGCACCGTCTCTAAAACACATCTGTTTTCAATACGAGCTAGAGAACACACAAAGGTCTGTGGCCACTTGGGTTTTATGACCGATCACCCACGAATTATCATCGTTGAGGTTTTAGGTTTTAAGTCTCCTTTCAGCAAAAAATCAGGGACAGGAAAGAATTTTGATTTGTTTACTTATTTCAATTCCAAGATAACATTGGTTGAAAATTATATTGGACAAAGCATGGTTGAACTATATAACACAGTTATGACTGAAATATGCAAAATTGATAAAACACTAATGGAGACTAAATTAACTCTAGCACGCCTTAACCCAACAGAGTTTGTAAACAGTATCATCAAAAGATCTGGCTATACTGCAGTTGTAGCTGGTGAAGTTTTACATATTCTTGAATGCAAACCCGTATATGTAACACCCAGATCTGATGACAATTGTTATCAAGAAATACCCGTAGCTTATAATAATCAAACGATGTTCATCGCCCCAGTAACACGAACATTACAAAACAGAGGCACTCAAATAGATTGTACACCCCTGTTACCAGCTAAGTTTCAAATAGGTGGAAGATGGTATACGACCGACAGTCGCATCAGGGAAACCACTGCTCCTTTAAAACTTACTACGGATATACTAAATACTTGGTCGTACACACAACTCCCAAATTTAATGCAAAGCGGAGTATACGACGCAGAAAGCGTAATAAAGATGAGAAACTTGATATATGAACAAGGAGATAGACGAGTTGCGTCTAACGTATTACACAAAATCTTGATCGGTGAGCACCCAGAGTATCAAGGATTTCGTTTTGAGGCGCTCGTCTCAGACAAGTTTGTCGAAAATATAATTGGAAAATTTTGGGAGAAGTTGATGTCATGGTCTAATATGCTTGGTAACATAACATCCACGTTTATAGGAATATACATGATCAGTCGGATAATTAAATTCGTCATTGATACAATAATGCATGGGCGCATATTGTACGATATTTACGGTTTAGGTTGGCAATTGCTAGCTTCATTTTGGGACTCCCTAACAAGCTTCCTTTCTCATCGAAATGCAATGAAGAGAACGTCCCAACGAGAAAACAATATAGAATTCATTAATCAGGATGAAGCAACCGCACATGTAGACATGGGTGAGGCTAGTGCACCAACAATATACCCAATCTTACACTCGCGGAATAACGATCATATATAAGTAAACCTAGAAGGATTTACGGGCTCCGGAATGTTACCGCGAGGCAATTAATTTAAAACCAAAACCATAAGATAACCACATAGTTGCATCCCGTTTGCATAGCCCTAGCTGACGTTGATACCAAGGCCAAGAATATGAAATGAAAAGTAGGGCAAAAGGAGCGAGAGCTCGTTTTACATAATCTAACTGCAGTATTTACTTAGGAACGTTTCTGCGTTCAAGTAGGATAAACACGCCCACGCATGGCATGCTTGCGCATCTAGGTTACGTTTAGCTTTCCCTCTCTGTTTATCCTTAACGAAGGATATAATTATAATGTTTAAACGTTACAAATGTCTCATTCTTATTTGTAGAGCCATATCAGATCTGAGTTACAAAAAGAAATAAACTTACAAGATAACCCGAGAAATCCCAGATCTGAGAGGGCATAGTATATAAGATCCAAATAACACAAATTTACCCTTTCAAGGGCGATCGAAATCCTAGCTAATAGAATAGGCAAAATTAGGTCAAAAGTCCGGTATTGAAAGGGATATGTAAAACCCTGGACGAACCAAGTAAAAGTTTTACATAATTATAAGTTGCTAATGCAACACGTAGCTGTAAGATCACTTTGTACAATTTTGTTGAATAAAATTAAGTTTCGTAGGTTACTCCAGATTCTTCTCTTTTTTTGAATCCGAAAGAACTTTCGGCCTAGAAGTGAAAACTTCTCTCCTTAACCGGGGAAAAAAGTAGCTCCTAGAATCGAGAAACAGTGTCTGATCTGAAAGCGAAAGACTCTCCCTAACCGGAGAAGAAAGTAGCTTTTGGCGGCGACAGTAAAGCTTTGCTGTCATTTTGAAGTTGAGTGTTCTTTAGCTATCCTTAGTGAATAGTAAGACGTTACTTTTTTCCTATAATCCGTCCAATTTACATCGAAAGTATAAATTATATAATGCTTCTTCATTTCTTGGACAATTGCTTTCAGACGACATGGACATTAAATGGCCAAATCTCACACACAAACCTCGTCCCCAATAGCAAAAAGCGAATTTGTGCACGGTTCGCTACTGGGTCGCTAACCACGGTCAGGTTCTTACTTTATATACGGACGGACGATGAAAATGTATGTTTATAGATAATAAATAGATGATTAGTCAAATAAATGATTAATTAATCAATAAAAATCATGTTATTAATGATTAATTCAGGCAAATTAAGTACAGCCATTCGGTAAAAATTATACCGAACGCTATATTGCAAACTTCACCGATCATTCAGCAAAATTTACAGTCCTGGTCCGTACATTTTGACAGCTCCCAAAGTGAACAAAATTTACCGAACGGATTGTAAATTAAAAAAAATACCGAATAGATTACCGAATGTTCAGCTGTTCCATATTCGGTAAAAAATTACGGTATACTGTAAAAAATCTTAGTGTGTGTGTGGTTACACATGGCTTTTATGTGTACACATATTCAGTATGTGTTCGACACATAGATATCATTTGTTGATCACATTGCAAAAATCCATGTGTGGGACACATAAAAACAATCTTTGAAATTTTATCAGTGTGTGGAATTTCACATAGAAATTGGTCAATAAAAATGTGTGGAATGTTATTAGTGTAGGTATCCCGAAATCGGTAGGACTACCGATAAATCGGTAGGTCTAGTCACCCTGTTTCTGGTGTCCCGCTTACTAATCTTAATGTACACACAGCTGAACTCCCTGTGACTGAAAATTGCAACTTTGTAAGCATTTCTAATGTCAAACATTTTCATTTTTCAGCCACCTTTCTGAAGCTGTGCAAAAGTGATAGCAGACTAACGGGAAGACGCGTGTGGTTCCGTATTTTTCATTAAATTTCACCAGTTTGAATACGCTTATTCCTGTTAATTGTGCTGCATCGCATCGGCGGTCAAAATCCGCAAAGCAATGTCGAAAAGACGTATCGAAGTGATGGATCCCTTCATCAAAAAGCGGAGGTAAGATTGATGTCCATTGATCCTCGAGTTCATAGTATAGTTTATGCCAATATGGCGGCGCAAGCAACATTATTTATGCTGGCAATGCTTCAATACCCGATTTTTTCATTGTTTTGCAGGGAGGAAAAGGGAATGTACGATTCCGGAGCGTCTACGAGTGGCAACAGCAACTTGTTGTCATCTGGTGCCGCAGCTTCCAACGGGAAAGTGAATCAACTGAATGGAGTACCTTACACGCAGAATTACTTCAACTTATACAAAAAGCGCATCACACTGCCGGTATTTGAATATCGGACAGATTTCATGCGTCTATTATCCGAGCACCAGTGCATCGTGTTGGTCGGTGAAACTGGTTCCGGAAAGACAACGCAGATCCCGCAATGGTGTGTGGACTATGCCAGGGCAAGCGGATGCAAAGGGGTCGCTTGTACACAGCCCCGTCGAGTAGCGGCTATGTCGGTCGCTCAGCGAGTTTCTGAGGAAATGGACGTCATTCTGGGACAGGAAGTTGGCTACAGCATTCGTTTTGAGGACTGTTCCTCGGCGAAAACCATTTTGAAGTGAGTAATGTGGTTTTGTTTTGGTATTACTATTTCATTTCTCACTGTGGTTCAATTTCTAGATACATGACCGACGGTATGTTGCTGCGTGAAGGAATGAGTGATCCTATGCTGGAAACATACCAGGTGATTCTTCTTGACGAAGCCCATGAACGTACACTGGCAACGGATTTGCTCATGGGTGTCCTCAAGGAAGTGATTCGTCAGCGGAACGATTTGAAGTTGGTTATTATGTCTGCTACATTGGACGCGGGTAAATTTCAACAATATTTCGACAATGCACCGCTGATGAACGTTCCGGGACGAACACACCCGGTGGAAATTTTCTATACTCCGGAACCAGAAAGGGACTACCTAGAAGCTGCTATTCGTACGGTCATACAGATTCACATGTGTGAGGACGTCGAAGGTGACATTCTAATGTTCCTCACCGGTCAGGAGGAAATTGAAGAAGCTTGCAAACGAGTTAAGCGAGAAATCGATAATCTCGGACCGGAAGTCGGTGAACTGAAGTGCATTCCTTTGTATTCTTCGTTGCCTCCCAATATGCAGCAAAAGATTTTCGAAGCGGCACCACCCAAAAAGCCCAGTGGTGCAATTGGCAGAAAAGTGGTCATTTCCACAAACATTGCTGAAACATCACTCACTATTGATGGAGTTGTTTTCGTAATTGATCCGGGTTTCTCCAAGCAAAAGGTATACAACCCTCGTATCCGTGTGGAGAGTTTGCTGGTTTCACCGATTAGTAAAGCTTCAGCTCAGCAGCGCGCCGGTCGTGCTGGTCGTACAAGGCCAGGTAAATGTTTCCGGCTGTACACCGAAAAGGCATACAAAACAGAGATGCAGGATAACACTTATCCTGAAATTTTGAGATCAAACTTAGGTAACGAAGAAACTTGTCCCAGTGTTTTTGTAGCTTTCTAATTATTCCTTTCGTAAAATCAGGAACCGTTGTTTTACAGTTGAAAAAGCTTGGTATCGACGATTTGGTTCACTTCGATTTTATGGATCCACCGGCGCCGGAGACTCTGATGCGAGCGTTGGAACTTCTCAACTACTTGGCCGCCCTGGATGATGATGGTAACCTTACGGACTTAGGAGCAGTTATGGCAGAGTTCCCGCTGGATCCACAACTGGCAAAGATGCTAATCGCGAGCTGTCAACACAATTGTTCGAACGAGATCCTTTCAATCACAGCTATGCTGTCGGGTGAGATATACCACAAATCAATAATAGAGATCCCATTCACCCGATCCCTAGATTCCCACAGTCCCCCATGACCTTGTCCAAAGAATTATGAGTTAAGTACCTACGAATTGGAGAAGGGAGTTGCTACCATTATTTTGATGGAGCAGGATTGTTTTATTCTTGTTTGTTATTTGTTGGTTTTTCGGTATGCGACTTGAATCCTTTTACCATTGGATAATTGCTTTTGATGATAGGAAAGCTTGACATTTTGTAAATCCTGATATAGTTTGTCCAAACCTCCGCAAAATTGAATTTTGGATTGATTCAAGTCATATACGAAACCAACTAAACGATTGAAGTCTTAGGTTAAACCCAATGAACATGAATATGCCCAATGCAACTATATTTGATGGGACGCGCGCGGTTTTTCTTGCGGTGTGCCTCCCAAACCCTACTTGTGTTTAGTCCCGCAGTGTTTCGTACGCCCTAACGAGTTGAAAAAGGCCGCCGACGATGCCAAGAAGCGCTTTGCCCATTTGGATGGTGATCATCTCACGCTATTAAACGTATACCACGCTTTTAAACAGAGTGAGTCCTTCTGACAAGAACCCCCCGCAATCGATACATTACTTATCTTTCGCCTTAAATTTCCCACAGACAATGAAGACCCAAGCTGGTGTTACGATAACTTTATCAACTACCGTTCGCTTAAATCAGCCGATAATGTACGCCAGCAGTTGGCTCGGATAATGGATCGGTTTAATTTGAAACGTACAAGCACGGACTTCAACACCACCAACTACTATTTCAACATTCGAAAAGCTTTGGTGGAAGGTTTCTTCATGCAAGTAAGTTAGAATTCTTTTATTGGTAGTAGTTATTTGGATGGCGCTGGCAAACACAGTGTCGGTTATACCAAAGATTAGCCTGCCGTTTATTTTACATACTTTTCTCAATCATACATCTCTCGGGACTTTTCAGCTTTACGTCATTTAGTAACGGTTTTGATGCAACCGCAATTTCTCAAGAACTCCATGCTCGACTAGGTCTACACGCTTACTCGCAACGAATCAAAATTAAGTCGAACGTACTCGTTTCAGCGGCAAGTATGGCTACTCAAAATTGGGTAAACGCATCTTTACTCACTTTTGAGTAAACGGCGTTCCTACGCAAACTGAGCAAATCCTACTCAGCGTTATTTTGATGCCGGGAGGATGTGTGATTATTATTATGATTATTATTGGCAATATTTGCAATTTGCTGCTCCGGATGCATTCTTCTGGAGCTTGGAACCATCTAAAGACGTTTCCGGAAGCAATTCATACTTCTTACCTGTGTGCATTTCCGCCGGTTTTTCGCAAAAAAAAAATACCTTTATTTGAGCATTTTCTATGGCACGGCAGGCATGTTTTTTTAAAGTCCCGGCTGTTGCTGATTGAGTGGCTTTTACTCACTTTGACGTTTCTCGTTTACTCAATTTTTGACAATTCCATACATCGGATAACAGTGAGTAGGATCGACTCACCCAGTGAGTCGCTTAAAAATAGCGTGTATGCACCGCTCTTTAGCTCAGTTAGCCGGCGTTGCTAGTTCTCTACACTTTCTCTGCAGCTCCGACGGTATTTGAGCGACTGCTCTGTATGTGTGTGTGTTTTTATGGTAATGTTTAGAAAGCTTCGACCCTGTAGGGTAGTGGGCACGGTGGTCGTTATTTTACCCAGCAAGGTCTACACTAATCACTGTAAAAAAAATGGCTGCTACTTTTTGCTATTGACTAATTGACATTTTTATGCATCACTTTTTTGAGACATTTATGTTAATAACTTTATAATAAAGCATGCTACATAAAATAATGGGTATTTATTGGATGAGTCAAACCATTTTGATAATAATCATAGTATAAAACTTATACATTTGACGTATATAGGTGAAAAAAAGAAAAAAACGCAATTTTAGAGGTTAGTTTTCCTAATTGCCCGATATCTCGCTTAATGTGAGTCATAGAGTTTCGATGTCTTCGCCAACATTTCTCAACACTTCAAATTACACAACTGCCGTAAAAACCATTCGGCTAGAATGCTCCGTTCAAAAGATAGACTCGAGCGCCACCTATGTGGCGTGAACTAATATGAAACTTTCAAAAGATGGCGCTTTCAATATTGAGCAACTTTGTAGAACATTATATCGCTGTAGAAAGCAAACCAACGGCGCTAGAGGTTTTGGCCACCCGAATGGCTTCGCTGCCCCACTGTGCGCCTGTAGCACTTGCTGTTCTCCGCAAGGGTGATGCCAATAGGGATCATTTCGGTGATAACGCATACTGCTTCCGACGAAATGGTTCTGTACGCACTCACGACTCGCATGGCCATGAGCCGGACCGTTCTACTCAGTTTTTCTTCGTTACCAGCACTGCAACCTAGGCTGGATCTCAGTATCGACGACGACACACTGGCCAGAAAACGTCTCTTGCTACTGCTGTTCTCGTCCTCCGTACTGCCACAATATTCCGTTGGCCGATGTCATATTACATCGGCTTATGGTCGCTATGGATATATCCTTTTTGCCACCAGCGACGGACTGCAGAAAGTGACGTCTATAATGGATTAACGGCCATCTCTGCGAAAAGTGCTGCTGGTGCCTTAATTGGACAGCGTAACTTTCAGCTTTGCCAGAGTTTCCAGTAGACTGTGCTCCAGTAGACTTGTGTTGGAACATCTGCTTCGCCACTCCACTGTTCAAGCATTGAAGTCTTCTCCGATGACTACCGGTCTTCGTCTGATCAGCTCTTCGGTAAGTCCATCCAGCATCTCGCAATGATGGAGGTTTATATCGGTTACCTCCATTACTGTTGGCCTGCCATCGCTTTTTTGTATGCTACGCATTTGCAGCCTCCCGTCGCTGTTGAAGTCCTGTTCTCCGCTGATGAATCGTCGCTGTTGTAGTCAGATTCCTCGACTTCCACGTTGTTAACCTTTCACCTTGGGTACCCGGGCTGATGGAAAGTTGCGTCTATCCGGTGGTTCAACTTGACCAGTTGTTGGAGGTCTTTCACGTCGACGATGGATAGCTTCGAGCGATAGTGCTGTCTCGTGTTGTCCCAGATCAATTCGAACTTCCTAAGATGGGCTCTTCGGATTCAACCCTACGACATCGAACTCGAGTACCGAAAAGGGAAGAACAACATCACCCCAGATTGCCTGTCCAGATCGATCGAGATGATCAGATTCGTCCAGCCAGATCCGTAGTACGAGGAATTAGCACCGAAGTGTTCCAGCCGACAGAACGACCAACCGGTGAACACTCGTGTTTATTTCAGTTACCATGTGGACGTCATTTGTGATTAGCTCCGGTCCCTTCCAAATTGTATCATTATTTATGTACGGTCCTTATATTTGAAATGACGTTTCACATTCATCTAGTGATGGTCGATTTTCATTCAAATAATCGATTGATCGATTAACGAATCGAAAAGTAAAATATTTGTAATCGGTCATATCATGCCGATATAAGCATTAACTTCTCCAGAGGAACATCACCGATCGTTCCAAACATGTGCTGCACTCTCATTGGTAATTAAAAAAATGGGACATCTCTAGTTTTGGTGTGATTGTTTTGATAAAAAAGTGCGCAAAATTTAATTTACTACCGAGGGGGTAGCAAAACCACAAAATTATTCATTGAATGAAGGGGACCGTGAAAGAGGACTTTAAAATAGAAAGTTTTTCTTCTGACAGTTTCATCTTAGTATTCTTCTTTGGAACGACCCTCGTTTCTCGTGGAAGCAATTTCCAATGCAATCGGAAAGAACCTCGACAAAGCCCACTTCGGTTTTGAGAAGACCCTAGCATACAATAACCGCTAGTGAGGCCGCTGTTCATTCAACCGTTACCCTTTTTTGATCCGCGCAAGCGCCGGTAACGCCAAACAGCTTGTTTTTGACGTAGACTACGTCTTACGGGAAGGTACTGGGGGTAAATCGAAAATCTAAAATTGCGACCGTCACGAAAAGGTGTAATTTTTTTAACGCTATAAGCTTTGTCATTTAAAGATGAAATTAAAATCCGAATACACCAATCGATAGGAAATACCTTTCGTAAGCTGTTGCAATAAACTTTTTTTTTCAATTTTTTCATAAAAAACTGTTTTAAAAATGGACAAATAAAAAGTGATAATTTTATCACTGTTTTCATGAAATAAACGTTCTCCCCAAACCCAGTCCTCATAATCAAGTACAATTTGGTTGCACATCGTGCAGCTTGAATCAGAAAAGTTATAAAACAGCGCTGCAAATGTGCCTCAACTCATTTTCGCTTCGGACGGCGGGTAAGTAGGTAGCAGCAGCAACAGCAGAAGCAGTATAGGAAGGCGGTTCCTGTCAAGCGCGCAGTGTTCGAGTTTTGCACCGCGTACTTTGCGCGTCGTTCCCGTCAAGATCATTGGCTGCTGGTAGCGGCGTCGCCTCGATGGCGCAAGCGCTCCTTGCTTGAATGATAACTACATATCTCGATTACTTTTCGGAAGGACATATCAGCTTTTGTAAACAACGCATTTTATCGTCGGTTTGGCATAACTAATAGCTCGCCCCACATACTAACACCGCTAACAAGTTGGGAAAATTTTCCCCTATATGATTGTACTACTACTTTCTTACCTGACTTATAACGAATATTTATACGTTGTATCCGCGGGAGCACCAAATCGAAAAAAAAAATGAAAATGAGGTGTTTTACCTCGCATAGTTCATACCCCTGAATAGTACGTATATATTTACTCTCGAATAGAACGTATATACGTTTTATTCAAAGTGACCATTTTGGAGTGTGATTTTCTTTTCAGGTTAATGCAAATTGAAAAATGTATTTTTTTTAAAATGTTGCTTTATTGGACGATCAAACTGAAAAATAACCTTAAAAATCGGTAATGATTTAGAACTTAACAAATCGGTAATGGTTAAAACTTGACAAAAAAGTTGAACGATAACATAGTAAAAACCATTTGACGGTTTCATGGATTTTACTCCTCAACAAACGCCATGAAGTGTTTTCCTGATTTGATTATGGAAAACGATTCCATTGGGTTACTTTCAGGCTCATATAGTGTTCTCTCTACTATAAATCCTTCCAAGCTACACTCAATCAACATTATCTTCACGCTGAGAAGCTCAGCAGTTGCAGCAATTTCGGCCCCAGATTTAATTTTTCCACTTAGCAACTCAGATTTGTCTGACTTGTCCGTGACCAGAAATAGCCATTGGTTTTGAACATAATCACAAACCTTGGGGATAAAATCTTTGCTCCATTGATCAAATGATCTATGTTCCTTTGTAAGCTTATGTACGCATTCGTAAAATCCGGTTTCAACCTTGAGAGGGAAAAAGTTAGGAATACAATCTGGTTCCTCACCCGACTGGTGCATCAGTTTGGAATAGCGATCAAGCCAATCATTTTGATCGAACTCATCAGACATCAATGCTTTCAACGGTGGATGCAAAACCTGTTTGTCAAGCTTACCTGAATAAATTCCACAGACTTCTTAATCAAATCTTTGTGATCCTGTTTCGCCCAGTTCCAAACCCATTTAGTGGCCATCAAATGCGATGAAACCTTGATATTGCCACGGTTCGTGCGAACTTGGTAGGATCCGAAAGAGCGGTTTTAATGTACGATTCAGAATAGGTTGTTTGAAAACTTTTGTTGATGGACACATCCAGTGGCTGAAGGAGCGGAGTCATCCCTGGTGGAACAATAACGATAAAAACGTTCTTGCGTTCGTATTTGGCTTTCATCTCCTGCGCGACGTTGATATGAGGTCCATAGCTGTCCACAATCAGCAGTGTAGGCTGTCTCAA